TGACCACTGATGAAGGACTAGAGGATGACCAACACACACTGTGCAGCAGCAGATGAGCTATCGTCTCTGACTTTACATCTACAAGGTGGACTGACAAGGTAGGAGTGTCTAATAGAGTGGACAGTGAGTGGACACAGTGTTTGAACACTCCAGCAGCACTGCTGTGTCTGATTCACTCAGACCAGCACAACACACACTAACACACCACCACCACGTCAGTGTTACTGCAGTGCTGAGAATGATCCACCACCCAAATAGTAGCTGCTCTGTGAGGGTCCATGGGGGTCCTGACCATTGAAGAACAGGGTAAAAGGGGGCTAACAAAGTATCAGAGAAACAGATGGACTACAGTCTGTAACTGTAGAACTACAAAGTGCACCTATATAGTAAGTGGAGCTGATAAAATGGACAATGAGTGTAGAAACAAGGAGGTGGTCAGAATGTTATGCCTGATTGGTGTGTGTAGTCAGATGTGTGGTCTGTTTCGTTCTAATTAAACTGTTATCACATTCCTATTCATGTCAGAAATGTCCTGCATTATTAATTCAGCTGTGAATGCTCTGCCGGCACCGCAGCGGGAGGTCCACTGTTCATCTGTGGAAACCGCATGGGGCCATGGGTAAAGGAGGGAGGGGGAAGCTTATGGCCCAAAAGCAATGAAGTCTGGGAGAAAAAACTAAACTTTCAACACTAGCAGTCACATCTTGGCAGACTCAAACAAACACACTTCACCATCTGACTGAGCTCTTCACTTCAGATCCAAAGTGCTTGTAGACACGTCTGAGAGGATGTTTAGTGACTTCTCAAGAGAGCGAGAAGACAAGGCATGTGTACATTAGAGAGAGAGAGAGAGAGAGAGAGAGAGAGAGAGAGAGCGAGTGAGCGAGAGAGAGAGAGCGAGAGAGAGAGAGAGAGAAAGAGAGAGAGAGCGAGTGAGAGAGAGAGAGAGCGAGAGAGAGAGAGCGAGAGAGAGAGAGAGAGAGAGAGAGAGAGAGAGAGAGATCTGTATGCGGTCAGTGTGGGAAACGTTTTCACGCAGAGAGAACAGAACAGTGAAGAGTTGTTAAAGCAGGAAATGAGAGTTTCTTCATCAAAGCCCTCTGTGGGAGAGTTCAGGGTTAATGATGATGTGAACTCCAACAGTGGACACTTTGTGCTCCTCCATCATCTGTCCCAGCATGCACTGCACACGGTCTTTGCACTGGGTTAAGGTAGACAGCTGCCTAAGGCCCCCATGAAAGTAAAAATGAGAAACTATCGCTGTCGGGACAAGAATTTATATGTCCATTTAGTCAGTTTTCATTTTTGGACATAATTTATAAATATAAGCTGCTTTTACACGGCGTCAAAACGTCATGATGAAGTGACCAACAGAAACGATCCAAATGACTTACAATGACTCATTTCTCCACTGACGTCCATTAAGAATTAATAGTGTAAAGTTACCATTTTGGAGAAACGATGTTTTGTTCCAACAGCGATTACATTCTGTACACGCTAATAAGATAATCTAACATTTTGTTAATCCCAAAGGGAAATTAGAGTGTAGAATATGTATGTATACACACCATATTACATAGGTTATGTATATAGAATATCGCTGTTGTCAAAACAAAACCTTGTATCTCCACTTTTGTCGTTTTCAGTTTTTGACATAATTTGAAAATGAAAGTTGCCCCTTTAGATTGTGTATAGATTTCAAGATGAATGGACCAAAAGAAACGGCCCAAAATGACTTAATAATAATTCTGAATATTAGAATCGAATAAGAAACTGCATAGCATGAAATACTACACAATACTACACAATATAACTGACTATACTATCACTACAACTATACAATATAAATATATCACTGCTGTTGGAAGAAAACCTCGTATCTCCAAAATGGTAACTTTACAGGAGAAGAAAAAAACATACTTTACTTTTAATGTAAGTCAATGGAACCAGACTTTTTTCTAAGTAATTTTGGGCCGTTTCGTTTGATCCATTCATCATGAAATTTACAAAAAATGTAAAGAGCAACAGGCATTTTCAAATTATGTCAAAAACTGAAAAATGACAAAAATTGAGATACGAGGTTTTGTTACAACAATATATATATATATATATATATATATTTTTTTTTTTTAAGCAATAAATATATTGCTTTTATAAAACAGTTAAATAAATACAGTAATAAATGAATAAACTGGGCCGTGAACGCAGCGTTTAATATGTTTTAATGTTCGCAGTTCCTTCCACCAAATTATAGTTCCTTAACAAGCAGCTCGTTGCTACGTCAGAGTAACGAGCTCCGCCCACTCGCTGCACAGTCTGCTGTAAGCCTCGCCTTTTGAAGTATATTGTGATACATGAATATAAACCAAGAAGAAGAAAATTAATGATTATTTTAACACTGTGGCCGGAAAACATGCACCTCAACGCCCAGCAGGTCAGAACTTAACTCTTCACATATTTGGTCAGACAGATCGTAGAGGGGGTTTGAGGTTGTGACCTGAAATTAGACTAAATGCTAAAAAAGATCCTAGAGCCACTTAAACTCACTCATCTGCACTGACCACACGACCCAGAAACAGAGACGCATTTAAACTGACCGTGGGAGACTCCCCTCTGTACTCAAGCTCTACAGCACAGGTCTGAGATCAGCCGGGACTCGCAGTACACAGACCCAGAGCGCAGGTGGGATGGACCGGACTGACTCCGGATCAGCGTCTGCCTCAGAGTTCAGGGCTGAGTGTGTTAGAGATGAGTTCATCTCCATTAGCGCAGATGGAGAATTAATCCTCGTCTCCATAACAGCGCAAGTGTGCAGCTGCTCTAATCCAAACCCCCCTTACAGGGAACACTTTTTAGTGCACAGTTCCTACTTATTTGCAGGGTTTAACACTTTGGACGACACATTTCCTCACAAATATGTTACATTCAGCAAATAAGCAGTAACTGGACAGTGAAATGTGCTCTAAATGGAGGACATGTATTTATTTTTACTTAGAAAATCAACATGTATTTTGTTCAGGGGTGCCCAAACTTTTGCACACGACTAACAAAACAGCTCAGTAATTTTATATTCACTGAAACAAGTGGAGAGGTTGTGTGGCAGAACAGGAAAAGTACAGAATTGGGCCGGACTGATATGAAAAAGTGGACGATACCGATTTTACGATATCGAATTTGAAAACAACAATATTTTATGCTTGTATTTAAAATTTGTATAACATACATATATATATATATATATATATATATATATATATATATATATATATATATAATATTGTTCCTAAACAAGAGGCGGAGCTACATACATTGCGATTTTGGTTACTGTTAATCTCTTATTTTACTTATGAGTTCAAATGTTTTTTGTGTTATTCACATAATTGATGGTTGGGTTTGTTATTTTAAACGTGATGGTGTTTATTACAGTCATACAGCTAAACAGGAGGACTATACTATACTGGTGATGTTGCCCAGCCCTGTTATTGGCGATTGTGGGTTTGAAATGTGCCAACATCGCAACCAAAAAGATGATAATTGTCAGCAACTGTCAGTATTATTATTAGTATTATTATTAAAATTATCATCAATGTTTTTTCAGATAGCAATAAAAACAGTGAGTCTTCAATGCTGGCTGATATTATCAGTAAGTAAACAAACAATAAACAAACCCCCATAATGTTTGTGAAAAAGGCATAAAATTCAGGGCGATTGCACAACAAAGCAGTTCCCAGGTGGTTGCTAGGGTATTGCCAAACGGTCACTATGGTACTTTTGGTGGTTGCTAGGGTGCTGCCAGGTGGTTGCTATGGTTCCCCACATGGTTAAAAGGGTGATGCTAATGGACTTGTATCAGCATAACATAAATTAGGTACACAGAATTTCGCACCTGATTCATTATTATGGTAAAAAAACATCCATCATTTAACAATTAGGCCCAATCCCATTTCACCCCTCGCCCCTACCACTTAGCCCTACCCCTCTGTTTTGCGCGTTCACGTGTAGGGGGTAGGGTGTCCTGATTCCTGTTGAGATAGAGGGGGAGGGTGAAGTGTTGGGGCTACATGACCCTCCAAACGGAGGTTTTTCAGAGACTCCAAACAGAGAGTTATGAGAAAAAAAGAAAAACTGGAAAGATGGAGAACAAGAGACCAAAGAAACCCACAAATGTGAGAATTTTCTCTGCTAAAAAATTACAATAACCACTGTATTATCTTATATTAATGTTTTAGTGTATTAAGGTCCTTTTCTTCATAACCAGCATAAAAACCTCTAGTCGTAGCTGATGTCTTGGTACCTAGCTAGCTAAATTTCCCAGTCCACCTTAAATGGTGCAGCAGTTACATTCTGGCACCTCAATTAAGGTAGAACAGGATAATTCAAACAAGGAGCTGGTGAATATCTGACTTCAGCTTCACATCACTGAAGAATTAGGGGTGGGCGATAATAAATAATTGACACATCCCCCTCTTTGAAGTCATATTTTTTATTATTATTAAGATTTGAACCACTAACCCTTGTAACTCAGTTCCAAGGGGCAAAGTGACACTCGGAAACAAGGGGAAGAGGCAAAAAGAAGAAACTGGATTTGGCCTAATTTTGTATGGCTGATCAAAAAGCTGCATACAAGCACACCATTCCCAATCAGGCCAAACATTCTGGAGTTGGAACGGCGTCAGTATCTGGAAAACTGCGGGACGAGTTAGCAGACAAAAAAATACAAACCAAGAAGAAGAAAATATTCCGTCAGATAACAAGAGTGCTGTATTGTTATGATGTCAGATGGCATCAATAACAATCGCTAACAAAGCGTATTTTATGTATTTTGGTTTTAGCTAATGTTTGGAAATTGGGGTGTTTACAATTAGGTGTTTGTGATCACTCAGGTGTGTTTAATTGCTTCATTAGTGCAGGTAAAGGAGGACTTTCAGCACCTATGTTATTTTAACACTCTCCTACAGCAAGGCTGGGCACTCTTGGTCAGACATTTGGTTTCCACTCACCAGGTTCTCCACTCCTGCCAGGGTGTGGTTGGCATTGTACAGGGAGTAGGTCAGCTGGTACACCCCATCATTGGTCTCGCTGTTGCCATAGAAACCCACTCCGACCGCGACGCTGCAAACAAACGGGAACAAGGTGAAAAGGTGATCATCATTGTCGCACTAACAGTGCCTCTGCTCACGGCTTAGAAAGGATAAAAGCTTCCAGCTTCAGCCTCCAGCAAGGCGAGCTCATGCGGTTTATCTATTATCTATTAGGCCAGGCTAAGATCACACAGCCCTTCCTGAAGTTTTCCGGCAGCAGTCAGCGAAGGGGAAGCCCGAGACTCCTCCGGAAAAGCATGTAACCCCGCCCAGGCATAACTAATCTGTTCTGATGTGGAGTCTGAAAGCATATAGCATAATTCACTCTGACCTTTACACTTCTTCATTACAGATCTCCCATCTCAGCGGGACGTCCCACTCAAATAATACTTTAATGAGGAAAGGCAAATATAGCCCTGCACCATTTAGGCTACTGAGCTCAGGGTCCTTCAGAACAGCTCTGCTGTTCTTTTTACTGTGAATCAGATCAGGGTTTTGTAAGGCTGAGATGTACAACGTTTGCAAAGGGTTTTACGGCCACAAAGAGTTTGCTAGCGCGGTGTCGTTCGCCTTGGCAATGCACGTCCATGAATTTGGGAGGCGGAGCTTCTGAAGGAGCACTGAAGGGAGAGGTGTATTTGTTTTGCTGTTAAGTTCAAACATCAACAAAATATCTTTCTCCAGAATCATTTACTGCGCCTTTAACTATTATTCCAAGATACATAGATTGTAAAAAGATATAATTTAGTGTTATATCGCTGTTGTCGGAAGAAAACCTTGTATCTCCAAACTGGTAACTTTACAGGAGAAGGAAAAAACACACTTTACTTTTAATGTAAGTCAATGGAACCAGAATTTTTTCCAAGTCGTTTTGGGTCGTTTCTTTTGGTCCATTCATCATGAAATTTACACACAATGTAAAGGGCAACATACTTTTTCAAATTATGTCGAAAACTGAAAAACGACAAAAATGGAGATACAAGGTTTTCTTCTGACAACAGCGATATGCCATATATTCCAGAAAATAAACGAAAAAGAAAATGGAGCTGAATGATCTACACACAGCTAATAATTATGTATGGTCACATTACAGGCAGACCTGTTGGTATAAGGTAGGGATGCATCAATACCATTTCTTTCAGACCGAGTAAAAGTACAGGTACATATTTTTAGTACTTGCTAACACAGATTCCGATACCATACTGACTAACCCGCTTAGAATGAAGCAGTTGTTAGTGTAAATGTGTGCAATGTACTTTAACAGTTAAACCATTAAAATCCAGCTGATTTTAATTGAAGTGTGTTAGCTAGCTATGCTACATTAGTTATCTTGGATGGTGTAGCGCTGCAGCGGAGAACAGCTGGTTTTGTTCCCCATCAGATAAACTCTTCTGTACAGCTGTAAGTAAAGTAGGTTTCATAGTTTTGATCCTCATCTGTCTGTTTCAGCAGCAGCACAGCGACAGCAGGAATCACATCCGAGGCTAATGTATCCGAGGAGCTCGCGCTTCCAGTTTTCTGTCCTGTTGGAGTCTTTTGATTGGCTGGTTGAGCTGTAGCTGAATGTCCTCTAAAGCCGGACAGACGCTGTGTGATTTTAGAAATCTTGTTCTTTGGTGAACATGTTCCGTCTGACTGACCCGCTACGGGAAACGCAGCCTCTACAGACGCTCTCTCTATGGAGCATGATCAATTAAGCTGATTCATTGAACATTACACATCGAGTGCTGAGAAAACACACTGAGACTCTGAGCAGCGCTGCTAATACTGAACGCTGAAGCTAAAAGCATGCGGTGATGTTCACTGTAGGACAGTACTGTCTCTACAGCCTGATTTACGAAAAGAATCACCTTATTAATGTTTATATCTCGCTATTCTATTCAGTCAAACAGAGTAAAGTTGGCTCATACTGACTTTGGTAGCGAATGTCAACTTTTTCACCTCCGTTTTGCTGGCCTACGTGTCTCCACCCATATCAAGGACAGTTGTTATGATTTAACTGTGATTGTATGTTTATAAACATGCCAAAATCAGAGTGTATTCCTGGTGGGAATCTGCCAAGGCAAAATGTTTCATGTTACTGATGTTTTTATGTCTGACTCAGTACAGGTTTTTTACAAAGTATCAGCTGCTATCGGTGAATTTTTTGAGTACAAGTAAACAAGCATGGAATCTACTATCAGTATCAGTGCCGATGCGTCCCTAGTTTAAGGAGATGAAACGAGTGTTTCTTTGCAAACGTAAAATGCATCGTGTTTTTTTTCTACGAAACACTGTGGCGTGTCAAAATAAAAGTCCTTTTTAATAAAGTGCGTCAAAATAGAAGCAAACATGTATTTTGCATTTATTTTTCAATGTACTGTGGGAAAAACTTAAAAATGTGAGACTTTTAAGTAAAGATGTCTACAGTGATCAGTTAGAAGACTATAAATGAATATAGAATAACTCTCTGGTGTGTCTCATTTAAGCTTTAATCCTCCAAATTTCTTAAAACAGATATCATGTTTTGCAATTAGCACATTATATGAGTATAAAAGACTTTAAATTGAAGATAATATATATGTAAGATTGGCACTCGGTATCTGCAGATATCCAAAGTTCAGATATCGGAATTGTTATTAGAACAGACCATGTTGATGTCTACCTACTCTAAACTGTGATAAATGGTTAGGTAATTATCTTCATATAAAAGCTTTGTACTGACACATGCCTACTCTGGAGCTGAACATGTTTGCTGTGTGGATTTTAGTAATATTCTCAGCCTCACACAGTGAGAGTTTCCATTAGACTGAATGCACACAGTTACACTTTTACCTTTGGGGGACTTTTAAAGGACACATTTAGAACAGTCAACTAAAGGTTCTGTTTCTGTTTCCCATTCAAAATGCCACGCAAGACGCACAGACGCACAACGCCCGACAGCCATTTCCTGTCTGAAGCTCAGATGGAGCTACAGAACAAGCATGACCTAGAACAGGGGTGACTATTATTATAATAATGACAATAGTGAATTCTCGTTAGTAGGAGACCCTCTGGGCAAGCTGCATAACTGTTTGAGTGAGTGAGAGAGAGAGAGAGAGAGAGAGAGAGAGAGAGAGAGAGAGAGAGAGAGACACCAAGGGGCGTGTTCAGAGAGACAGAAGAACAACTTGAGACAGTCACATATGAATTAACTTTCCTTAGATCAGGTAAAACAAAGCCAGCAAACTCTCACATACATCCAACTCACAAGCTGACTGAACACACAGCCCCTCTCAAAGACCCCGGAGATGAACCTTTCATCCGTCAGCGTTTCACTACTCCCTCTGACAGCAAACTCAAAAGGGAATTCAGAGAGAGAACAAGAGACAGTGTGAACAGAGATTAAAAAGCCATCAGAAAAATCCATCTTTAGATGCGACACGAAACACTCCCGACTCTCTAATTACCTCAAAAAAACATCGCCGGCTCTGAGAGGGAAGAGTCTCTCTCAGTTAAAGCGCCTCCAACTTCTACCTGGACCGCCTAGAGACTTTCTTGAGCTTCGTTCCCTAAAGCATGATGGACCAGGAAACTAGAGCCGAGACTGGCCTGGAACAGCGCAATCTACAGCTGAGACCGCTCTGGAGCACTGTAATCTACAGCTGAGACCGTTCTGGAGCAGTGTAATCTACAGACGAGACTATTCTGGAGCAGTGTAATCTACAGACGAGACTATTCTGGAGCAGTGTAATCTACAGACGAGACTATTCTGGAGCAGTGTAATCTACAGACGAGACCGTTCTGGAGCAATGCAATTTACAGACGAGACTATTCTGGAGCAGCGTAATCTACAGATGGGACCATTCTGGAGCACTGTAATCTACAGACAAGATTGTTCAGGAACAGTGCAATCCACAGACAAGACTGATCTGGAGCACTGTAATCTACAGACGAGACCGTTCTGGAGCAGTGTAATCTACAGATGAGACTGTTCTAGAGCACTGTAATCTACAGACGAGACTGGCCTGGAGCAGTGTAATCTACTGTAATTTACAGATGAGACCGTTCTGGAGCAGCGTAATCTACAGACAGGACCATTCTGGAGCACTGTAATCTACAGACAAGATTGTTCAGGAACAGCGTAATCTACAGACAAGATTGTTCAGGAACAGCGTAATCTACAGACAAGATTGTTCAGGAACAGTGTAATCTACAGACAAGATTGTTCAGGAACAGCGTAATCTACAGACAAGACTGATCTGGAGCACTGTAATCTACAGACGAGACCGTTCTGGAACAGTGTAATCTACAGACCAGACCGTTCTGGAACAGTGTAATCTACAGACGAGACTGTTCTGGAGCAGTGTAATCTACAGACGAGACCGTTCTGGAACAGTGTAATCTACAGACGAGACCATTTTGGAGCAGTGTAATCTACAGACGAGACCGTTCTGAAGCAGTGTAATCTACAGACAAGATTGTTCAGGAACAGCATAATCTACAGACAAGACTGATCTGGAGCACTGTAATCTACAGATGAAACCGTTCTAAAACAGTGCAATCTACAGACGAGACCGTTCTGGGGCAGTATAATCTACCGGCAAGACTGATCTGGAGCAGTGTAGTCTACAGCCCAGACTGTTCTGAAACCACAGTGTAATCTGTAGCCAATACTGATATGGAGCAGTGTAATATACAGTCAAGACTGTTCTAGAGCAGTATAATCCACAGTAAAGGCTGTTCTAGAACAGTATAATCTACAGTTAAGCAGCAAAATCTACAGCTAACACCGTACTGGAACAAAGTACTGTTCTGGAGCAGGACACTCTATAGCCTGAGCAGGGTACACTTTAGCCAAGCCTGGAGCAGGGCACTCTGGAGCCAATACTGTTCCAGAGTAAGGTACTCCAAATATATTGTTGCAGGGTGCTTTATCCTGATGACTGATGCTTTAGGGTACTCTATAAACAGCAATGTTGTGGAGCAGGGCACTCTGGAGCCAATACTGTTCTAGAGCAGTGTACTCCAGAGCTGAAGGTGTTCTGGAGCAGTGTAATCTACAGCTGCGAC